AATTGGATAACTAATTCGGTTGAATATATTAAATAAATTCAGATTTGCCTTTTTCATTTTCACACCATTGGCCTAATGGCTATTTGCATATTTTTAGTTTTTCATTTAGGATAATTTTAACAATTACTTCCAATTTCTAAACTCTCTAGCAGCATAAAAAAAAGTGTTAAAATTGCTATGCTAATTGCTAAAAGCTAAAAATCGAATGAATCTAAAATGTAAAATAAGATTCAATCTAAATCTGAATTATATCCGCGGTAGATGAAGGATATTTACATCTATCATAAATCGGATTCATATTCTCTTCTCAATTTTTTTTCTTGATAATTAATTATGTTCATTTATAAATTAAAAATCAATAAAACAAATGAAATAAATTTGGAAAATTAATTTAAGAAAATAAATTAATTTTAAAAATTATTTATAACATAAACAATTTTGTAAACAACAACCAATTAAAATCAGCAAAATTTCGCACTCGTATCCATCAACTATATCATTATAAGTAATTCAAGAAGAAATTAGTTGTACTTTTTATCGCTGTTTATATGAAACTGAATAGCAAGGAAAACAATTAAGAAGAAAGATTGACGTTAGGAATGAAATCATCTTGCAGTAAGAATGTTTGTTCAACAATTTTTTTGAAGCAATAATTTTCTTCCGATCCGTATGATTCATTCATTCAAACTTGTATGTTCTTCAAACAAACACTTACAAACATTAATCACAATTTTTAATTCGTACAATTAATATATATTAACTATAAAATTTTTAGTATCATTTCTAATGATTAATATAACGATAATATTAAACATAGCTAATACGATAATATCAAACAAGCACAAACAAACATGTAAAATTCTGATAACAATTCGATGATAAAATTTAGGATTATTTAAATTGAATGCTAAAATGAATCATTTTTTTTTTCTAGTGGAATATTTGTTCAAACAATTGATGAATCATCAATAATTTGCATATGATCTTTCTGAATCATTCCACTCTCCATTTATTTCGCTAATCAAAAAAAAAGTTACGAATTTATCAGTGCCAAAATGATAAAGATATCAATGATAGAAATATATTAGTGTATAATTCGTAAGATTAGAAGAGAAAAAAAGAATAAATAAATTTGAGATAAATATTAGTAGCGTAATTTGTAATTCTTGAAATAATGCTATTCTTCTCATTGTATTAGATATTGGATAACTTATTGAAAAAATACAACAATATTAATTACTTATTAATTAAACAATATTAATTACAAATCGTATATGTTAATATTTTAATTAATTATATTTTAATTATTTCAAATGGCTACCTACATAAATATCCTTTTTATTTTTATTTAAACAGAATGAATATCTTTCATATACATATATGATAGTGAAGGAATGAAGTATTTCTGGCGTAAGTGATCTAAACGATAGGAAACGTTCATATGTACTCGATACGGAAACTACAGTACTATTTAATGTTTCAGTTGCATTTAATAGGTTAGAAAATATTTACAAATAATACAAAACAAATGTGAATAAATGATATACAGAAGAGTGAAGAAAAACACAAAAAGAAAATATTGATGAAGAGAATAATGCGAATGTTGAAAACTGGTCTAAAAGAAATTGTCATGCATTAAAAACAGTACCGTAGTTTTAATATAGATGAGAAATATTTACAAATTATACAAAATAATATGAATAAATAGAAGAAAACTGGTCTAGCAGAAATTGCAGTATTGCAGTTTTGCAGAAATTGCAGTATTGCAAAAATTGCAGAAATTGTAGTAAATGCATAAATGATATGTTGTGATACATAAAGAGTAGGTAGGTAACATGCGACATATAGTGGAATATGATATATCATATAAGAGTGTTGTGCCTTTTTTTTTTTCACTTCAAATTTACGTACGTAATTTAATCTTTGGAAAAATTAATTTAAAATCTAGCTTATATTTCACTCTCATTTTATGATATAATTAGGATATAGTAAACAGATATAGTAAACATATAGTAAACAAAGTTCTAGCAATTTTATTTATTTAATTCATTTTAAAAATGTGAATTTTTTTATTCATTGAAATTGAAATTAAAAATTTTAAATTATATTTAATAGAGTAAATATAAAATAAGCTAATCAATAAATGAACAAAATTTTATCCAATTTAAATCAATCAAAATTTCTCTCTAAGAAATTTTCTTTAGTAAAAAAAATATTGTCTTCCTAAAACAATACAATTTCAATGGTGGAAATTTAGCCTTAATGAATAAATGAATAAAATAATAATGACAGCAATCATTGAAGAGAATATGTAATTAACAATAATTAAAAAAAAAAAGCAACGGTTAGGGAAAAAATTTTTATATTGCAAATAAAATTCATTGCTAGTGTGGGAGGATGGCGTAGGAGGAAATGGCAGCAAAATTAAATTTAAAATGAAATCGTTCAATAAAAAGGAAATGGAAATTATTCATTGCCTACGGCAATAATACAGTTTAAGATCATCCCGTTTGTTTGAGTTATTTGATAATAAATTATCTTCCAAATACTCTCCAAATTTCCTTTTATCTAGTACTATACTACAAAATAATCAAATACCATTCCACTAAAATATTACTATTTTCCTTTTATTTTAGCATATTATGCAAATTTCGATATTTGAAAAGTATTTCTATTATTTGAGACAATTGCGCATTGAAAAGTTTGAAAAGTATTTCTATTATTTGAGACAATTGCGCATATATAATCAATATCCAGAATTGTTGTGAAATTTTTTAAACATTAAATATTTTGAGAGAATTTGCTGAATAAAAGTAATCTGAGAGTAAACTGTTCTTCAGCCATCTTTTGTTTCTCCAAAAAATACAATCTGATATGAAAAGGATAATTAATAATATATTAATGATCGGATGATGCAAACAGAGAGAGATAGAAAGAGAGAGAGAGAGAGAGAGAGAGAGAGAATTAAGTGGCTAATAAATAGAAAGAAAATGTTATTGCTTAGAAATTTGAATTTCATTTAATTTCAATAGACAATTGTTGTATATTTTATACTTTTTACATTTATATACTTAAGGGATCAATTAATTTTGTAGTAAAACAAAAGAAGAGTATTTATGATTTTAAGAATCGAATAACTTAATCATTTAAACATGAAATAAATGAATTATTTTTCTTATTTCTTTTTATTCCATTATCCATCCATGCGAAATAACAAAAATATTTCATACACAATTTCACTAATTAATAATTATTTAAAACAAAAAATCAATGAATAGTTGTAAATGATTAGCTGCTAAGTAATGGAATTTTATGCTAGTTTTGTTTTTATTAGCAGAATTTAATTATTATACAGTATGCAAAGGTTATTTATAAATTTAATAAACAATAGAACTAAATTTTTTTCATAAATTAAGTTAAATGATGCAAGAGATTCATATACTGTATATTTTTTATCAATTACAATTTGTGGTAATTTGCTAATAACACTTTTTGATTAAAGTTTTTATTCGACAAATTCTATATTTATACTTATCTCAGAGAAATCAACAGTACTCTTTCTACTTGATTATGATGCTTAGAGCAATAACATCTACAGTAATAGCAATGCCATATTATAGAACTTTGGGTATGATAAACAAATTTTTAATCTGGTGATTAATTCACACTCAAAAATATGAGATGATATTTTCTAGCTTCGAAAATTTTCATTTGATAAGAAATGATTACAAAAGTTCTTAAACAACAAATTGATAAACAATCATAGAATACTTTAACAACCCAAATAGTTGCATTTCTTTTTTTTAAAATTAAAAGCTAAATAAAATCTATAAACAAAAGTTAAACAAAATTGAAAATATTTCTATTGGTAAAAAACCAATAGATTCTATCAGCAAATATGTATTGTGGAAATCAACAATTCTTACCGTTCTAAAACAAAAATGATAAGATAACTTCTCAGCAAATATGTATTGTGGAAATCAATGATTATTACCATTCTAAAACAAAGATGGTAAAATACCTTCCTTCTTTATTCATTTGTACAACTCGAAAGCCATGCTTAATTAGACTATACTTATAGTTTTCTACCAATGTGAAAAAATTCGATAGAATTTAAAAACAATCATTCCAAGCTTTTATACTTTAATAAGGAAAGATTGAAATTTCTTAAATATCCTTTCGCAAAAAGAAAAAGAAACTCAATCTTTCCTCATATTGGTCTGATGTAGTGTAAGTTGTACAGTGTTTGAATCTTTTACATAATAGTAAGTGATTTTTTTCAAATCAATAATATCATTACTTACTTTTATCAATAATTCTCTCTGTGTATTTTCTGGATCTTACTTGAAAATATAAACATAGTTTCAGAGGAAACTGCTATTAGCTATAGATCACAATAACCAGTATCAAATATTTTACTGTGCCACTTGTAGCATCAATTTCAATGGCGCGAAGCATTTTCAATAAGATTTGTGCTGCAAAAAAGCATTGCGAACGACTGGTTACTATATTGCATTAAAAGATTGCAAAATGATCGGTCACTAAGATTGCCAACGCTTAAGTTTATTTTAATTAATAAATATATTAGGCTCAAGCAACTTTCGAATTATTTTAGCATTGTCAACCTTGTAAATTCTCAATAGTATTGAAAACTTTTCAAACTTAAAATTAGTAACCCTCAAAATCCATGTTACTTGATTTATGACAAAGCGAATTCTACTTCTTCCCTTCTCCTTTGCTGTGTTAAGATGCAGATGCATTGCTAAATTTAATCCAACCCTATTTAAAACCTGAATTGGACAAAACCGCACAAACAGACAAAGCGAAAACAGGTGAACTCTAATAGAACCACATTGTGAAAATTAGCGTCTCATTTGGAAGGTTCTTTTATTCAACGGACCACTGAGTGTAATTGAGATCTGGTTTCCGGTCTCTCTCGCCAAGGAATCGGTTGAGAATTTCTGATTGTGATTTCGGATATATTGAGTGAGTAATTGAAAATGACTGGCACAGAGCGAAAGGTTTTCCAGGTTAGTCTTTGCATTCTAATTCAATTACAAATTTAAGATTTCATTACATAATCAAATCTATCGCACCAGAGGACCTTTCAGCAGAACTAATACAAAGATGTGATATTGTAAATAGTTCCCCATGTTATGACGACTATCGATGGGACATTTTGCCATTTTGGAAAGAAGGAAAGAGATAAATGCACTTAAAAAAAGCTAATGGCGGATTGTCTCGTACAAATAAACTATTTGCAAGTTTCGGAGACACTCAATCTTAAAGCCTAATTCAATTTGATACTGTTAATTCACAATCTTGCCATAACTTTTATTTATAAGTTTGTCCTGTTCAAGAAAGTGAAATTTTGCAGAAATATTATCCGCCTGATTTTGATCCTTCAAAAATCCCACGAGCAAAAGGACAGCGGAACAGACAGTTTGTACAGCGCGTAATGGCACCTTATAATATGCAGTGTGACACTTGCCATGAGTACATATATAAGGTATGCTTGCTTTAATTTCAAGTGTATTTGTGACCATTTCAATAATAATTGTGACCGTGAATTTAAAGTTTAAAGCGTACATTTAATCACTGAAGGTAACTACAGACATAGTACGTTTTTAGTATGGAGCGGCACAGAACAAGTTAGAATGAAATATAGGGATTGTATCGTCAGTTTTCTGAAACTTATTAATTTTCATTCTATTTCAGGGAAAAAAGTTTAATATGAGACGTGAAACCGCGGACGGTGAAACCTATTTAGGGCTGAAAATCTTTAGATTTTATTTCCGGTTAGTTCTTTTTTAATGACTTGAGTTTCAGCTTAGTTTTTCAAATTCCGTTATTAATTTTAAAAGTCTGTGATCTTGCATACTGTGCTTTACAGATGTCCAAACTGTTTAGCCGAAATAACATTCAAAACGGATTTGGAAAATTGTGACTACCAGCAAGAACATGGAGCAACTCGCCTTTTTGAAGCTTTCAAGCTGTATCAACAGGAGGAGAAAGCAAAAGAAACAAAAGAGGAAGAAGAAAAGAAAGATCCCATGAAAATGCTTGAAAAAAGAACAAAAATGAGTCGAGCCGAAATGGAAGCACTGGGTAAGCAAATGAATTAATATAAATAATCGTAAAGATTTTACTGTGATAGCTACGGCAATAAAGCATTTCCCGTCACGACGATGTTTGCTGATTATGCAGTATTTCATCAGGTCATTATGTTGACATTGTTTTTCCGAATGAGCGCTCCATATCCATCGCTGTGAGTCTTAATTTGAAATGTACAGTACGGTATGCCAAACCATGACGTAGCGTCCAGTATGTCAAACTTCAAGTGGCTTTTGGTGATGAATAAGTTGAATTACTTGATTTTATTTTCATGAACGGTGATTGGTGTATTGGGTACTCTGTCATCGTACTTACGCCGCATGTACTAATATGCAGGGAGAGGCTGTAATTATTGATAAAAGTGCGCTATAAATACGAACTACCAATTCTTGCAAACTAAAATCTTCAACTTTCAGGTAAATTAGAGGAGTTACAAGAGACGAATCGACGTCATGAAACGTTTGGCCCAGATCAATATTTCCAAAATTTAGTCAAGGCTCAAGCAGAGGTGAGTTGAATTTATATATTATTAACTGAGTTATTTAATACCCATTGTAATATAATACTACGGATTTCTTGTATGATGATGATACGGTTTTGTTTCAGGCTTTGCGGCTGCAAGAAGATGATGATGAAAAATTCATCCAGAAGTTATACGGAAGAACGGAAGACGGTAAAGTTATTAAACGAATACTGGATGATGAAAACGAAGATATGGAGTTGCCAATATATATGAAACAAGAAATAAAGCATGAGCCTGTGGAAGAAGACCAGAAACCAAGTTGTTCATCTGTTGACGTCACGGATTTAAAGCCAGGTACGTCAGGACATGGTATTGTGGTGGCACATAAACGAACATCGCAAAAGGAACTTTTATCAAACATTGTTACAGTTAAAAAACAAAAAGTGGAAAGGAATGAGTCAATAGTTGTCAAAAAAGAAATTGAGGACACAGGCAATCTCGAAGATTTACCAGAATATCCCACAGCAAAAAAAATTGAAAAAAATGATGGGAAATCACAACCTGTTTCACTAGCACCACCATTATCTGCCCTTCAGGGCCTGGCTGATTATTGCAGCGATTCTAGTAATGATTAATTGTTTTTAATGTTTATATAAAAACTTGGATGAACACTCAGAAATAGATTTTCGGCATTTTAGACCAAGCAAAATGATGAAGATTAGTGAGCAATTCAATTCCTATTTTGATTCAATTTTACTTAAAATAGGGAATGAAAAGTAAACAAACAGAAGCATCTACATTAAGGTTCTCGTCTAAGTTTTTATATCCTAACATTGCCATAAAGATCGCAGTCGAAGTCTTGCTGCAATTTCTCAAAAATCAGTATAGTTGAATTATGAAAAGTAAACATACAGAAGCATTTACGGTTAAGGTAGAAGGAGAGTTCTTGTCTAAACTTTTATGTTCTTACATTGCCATAAAGATCGCAGTCAAAAGAAGTGTTGCTGCAATTTCTCAGAAATCGACACAGTTGAATTAACTCATTGATGATAATCTAAAAAATAACATTAAGAAATACAACAAAGTGTAGTAAGCTTCGAGTATCTTTGGTCTTAAGGACAACATATTTCTAAACTCGTTTGCAAAGATAACATATACCTAAACTTGAGGACATATTTTTTAGAAAGCAAAGAACTAGGGAAAATTTGGATTGATGAATAGAGTTCACTTCACATTTCTAGGAAGCTTACTGTTTTAACTAAACTTTTAGCAGGAAGAATTCTATGCTAAATCGGCAAAATTTATGCCAGGTAGATCTTAATTAAATTTTAACGAATTTAGAATGCTCCTCAAGAAGTACAGTTTCGGATGCTTACTGAAATTGAACTTTAGAAAAGGACTATAAACTCTTAATAAAAAGCTTTAGTACGAAGCATTCAAAGATGATTCGTCGGAAACATCAGAGGCATCAGATGAGATAACCATTTCAGCTTCTCCTTCTTCGATTGCTGATGTGTGGAGACCATGAAGGGGTCTACAAAAACACTTATGTATTATAAAAGTCTATTCTGATCTGATGATCACAGCGAAAACTTTCACCAATTACTCAGGGTTTTTATCCTTATCTACAAAACCTATCCGTTTCAGTCTACCGATTAATTCCGTAGAAGTTTAGCTTACGTTGAACTTCCTGGGGGTAAAACATGAATTCCTTGGGACTCGACATTTCCAGGATGCATGGTTGCCATTGGTGTTGCATCTGAGCCAGCTACAAGCGTTTCAGATAATACGCTGTGCCGATGATGCAACTGACTTATTTGGCGTAGCGTGTTTCGTCCTTCTTCCTTTGTCTAGAAATGAACTTCGTTAATTATGACAATAAACTAAAATGGGTACCACTTTAAAACTTCATTTACGTGCACTCTGCGGAAAAGGAACATACGGTGTCATATTCTAGACAACGTTGCGCAAATGGAGTAGCTGTGTCCAAATCGCCTTTCTTTAGATAATATTTAGCAAGGAAAGAACAACATGTTGCAACATTATTCAGGTCGTCCATCTAAAATAAATTTTGTATTAGTGATAACACCTGTCCCAGAAGGAAGTGATGTTTAGCATAAAATAAGTCCAACTATCCTTTCCAACAAACAGCACGGGCGAAGGAAACTGCAAAAAAATAGGAAACTTACGAATTCTTCGCCATAAACATTCAAATATTTTTCATAGATTAATGCAGCCTGATCATTATCGTTACACTTTGCATAAAGTCTATAACAGAAATGGAATGAACTGAAGTCATACTACACATATATAGTTAATATAAATAAAAAACGAAAAAAATACAAGACACAAAAAGAGAAAACATTTTTTACTTTCCAAGCAGCATAAGTGCAGTTCCCTCGACATCTCCAACCTTGTAAGCTTTCAGAAAACATTTCTGAGCATCGGAAATTTGATTAAGTCGAACATAAACTTCACCAAGTGCAACTAACATACGCGAGTCATCCGGTCTGTAAAGCACTATGCATTGGAGAAACGAAGTTCTACATTAATTCCATTCTCAAATTTTATATGCAATCAGTATCCCTTAGCTAAACCTTGTTTTGGGAATAGTGTAATTCAGGGGCTGAGCTACACATGGGTTCTATTCAAAAAGATTCACAGTGTCAGCCAACAATCTGAAGGATCCGATAGTTCTTGGAACAAATTCTATCTTTAACAGCTATATATATTTGTTGTTGACGTTACGAATAAAGTAAGTTTTACTTGCATTTGTGTGCTTGTTGATAGTAATAAAGCGAATACGAAGGCATTTTCAGTATATCATAAAGCTGGCCTAAACCATACCAGCCACGATAATCATGTGAATCAGCTTCTAAATTTATCAAATTTAGAAGCAAAAATTTATCAAATTTAATGAAAGTGAAAACAATATACATTTCAATTAGCTAATAATAATGCAGTAGATATATCTTTGGGTTTTAATTTCGCAGGTATGCCGAATAAGCAGGGCAGACTACATTCTTATTGTTAATTCTTGTTACATAACGGCACGTATCACTAAATGCTTTCCAATGGCTTGTGATTCAAAATTTAATCTAACATTAAATTTCAGCACTTATAAAAGGCAGTATATATAATAATACCGATTGCTTTCCGATATGCAAGGCATGCAGCTGGATTATTTTTTTGCTCCATGAACTCATGCCCAATTAGTGTCCACGCTGCTGCATTATTAGGATTGAGTTTGAGTGAACGCTGTAGGAAAACAACTGCTTTCTCATGTTCACCTCTCAAACTATAGTAATTGGCTGAAATTTAATTTCCTAAATAATAAGATGTTATGAAATGCAAAGAGCATCATTAGTCCAACAAGGGATAGAACATGTTCCCATATTTATTTCAAACTTTTCATTCCTTGAAGTTTTACGATAGTAGAAAACTGGCCTACTATACAACATGTTTCCCAGCAGAACTTGTGCGTCTTGAAGAAGGCATGAGCAAGATGGGCCAAATCTGAACGAGAAGCCTGAAAAATTGGAAACTAAAACATAAAAAATCCATAAACTGGTAAACAACAATTCAAAGGAAGCTGGACTTCAAAATACATTTTTATTTGCAAATTTTTAAAAATTATTCCAATCCAAAGACTGACTTACTCGGACATACAAAGAATCAGAAAATAAATGCATTTGTTCCACGCGATATGGATCAATCTTCCGCACTTTTTTGAAAAATTCCAATGCCATATCATGTTCTGAATTAGAAATTACAATAAAAATTTTGTGAGAACATTTCTGAAGGAGATCTGTCAGTTGATAATATGGGTTATCACCTTGCATATTATTTAACGAAGCTGCAACTTGGTTCATAATGTAAGGCATATTTGGAAAACCACATTTGCTCAATTTTTCATACTGCTCCAACGCATTCTTGTGCAACTGAAATCGAGAAAGCACTGCAGCTCTGAAAAACTGATACATCCAATGTCCATCCGCAGAATACGCTTCTGTTTCAGCCTGTAACAGCAATGGTCATCAAGTAGATTTTTGAATAAGAATGAATAATCTGTTCTAAGTCAAATATAAATCACACAGTGAAAGTTTTGCACTATGCGCAAGTTCAAAGAAAAAAGTAATTGATTTTCCAATATGGGCTTTAATAATGCAGTAGGGAAAATCTACGCTAATTCAATGTAAATTATTTTAGAAAAATATTTGTAAGTTCTCTCGAATTCACTTTACCTCGTCTACAGAATCTACAAGCATGATCAACTCCTCCCATGAAGGCCACATAGCTCGATTCAACGACACGGACTCAAGGAATGCTTCCTTTGCTCTCTCTTTCAACTTCAAACTGTAACGCACCTTTGCAAGACTGCAAAAACTGTTTTACATTTTGGGTGCTCGAATTATCACAATTATTTTTATTCGATTATCTTTCAGATCATATGAATTCCAAAGCAGTTCCTTAAAATGTCTATATTAACATTCTAAACATTCTCTTAATAATGAAGGAAAACAAACTAACATATACAGTAGGAATGTATCGAAATATTCCGGATGGTCACTGCCAAGCAAGCAGAGTTCATTATGAAGTTCCTTAAATTCAGAATCGTCATACTCCATTCGACCAATTGAATCTGCTTCAGTTTCAAGTCGATTATATTCATAAGCCTGTTTTTGTATTTGTAAAATTTAGTAACGCTAAAAAATAAACAATTTTGCGAAAAATGCCAAATATTTGTATGTGTGTTTTTTATTCAACAAAAGAGTGGAGCAAATTGAACCAATTGAAAATGTCGGCCAACTGCAATTTATTGATAGCTTGACAGCTTAGAAGTTCACTTCCCAGGAGTAAAATGTAACATGCGAAACACATTCAGAACACTACTCTCCCTATTTCTGTTATGATAATCTATATTTTCTCGTATTTCTTCGAAGATTCGGAAATTCATCCTAATAAAGAATATAAACATTTACCAGTCAAAAAATACGACAGAAAATTGCTAACCAAAAATCTCGCCCAATAATACATGAAACGATCATATGATGACTCATCCTTTATTTGTTTCAAGAAATAAGCAGCTCGATAAAACTCACGTTTTTTGATTAAGGCTCTACCTATAAAAAGTTCAGTAATTTTAACAACTATTAACGATACATAAAAGAAACAGTTACAACCAGACTAAACAATCAGTAATTGGAGATGAGACATAACATGACGATGAAAGGCTTCATTAACTAAGAAACAGATTCCATTCTGAGGCTCAATAGTTCATTGTAGATTTTCTGAAACCACAGTTGAAAAGATAGAATAAAATTTATGCTCAGCAGACTGATATCGAAGAATGCATTAGAGAAATGATACTTGGAAGTAATGCGCCATCAATATAAAACATAGTCACCAAATATAAGGGTAGTTTTGCTATTAATATTTTACATGAAATCTCTTATTTGGATTCCATCACATCTTGATACTTCGAAATGAGAAACTGTAAGAAAAACGAACCAAAAGCAGCAATTTTAGCCAAATGTGGCTCAGTCGTAATGTAATCCATCTCTTGCGTTTCTGATTGTGCCGACTTATGTTTCGCATAGGAACTATGCCAATCTTCACTAGCATAAAATAGCAT